AAGACTAAGTGCATTTATATTTACCTATAACAATGATATTATATTTATATAATATATATTATAATATAATATAATATATATATATATATAATATTAATATATTATAGTTTATATTTATATGATATATATTTATATGTAATATATCATATTCGTTTCTTATCTATATTAATAGTTATTACTATTGATAATAATTAGGGTAAGTTCGACTACTCTACTACTAAATGTGATATCGAAGAAGCTTAGCTTGCCTTGAAATTCGTTTTTAGCCGTAACAAGGGGGATGCTTCGCGGACTGCATCACCATGAACGTCTTATTAAAGCCAAATGCCTACACAGCAACGGAAACCGGCTAGCATTTTCCAGTGAGATCAACCAACGAATCGCTTCATACAAAATGAAAGTCCCCCAACAATTATCATTTGATTAATCGGCCTACTGCTGTCGTCCAAGTAACTTATAATGATAATGTAATATAATATATAACACTATATATATATATATATATCGCTTGCATTGTAGTCGGCACTGTCATTGATAGGCTCTATCCTTACCATATTCAGCAATTAGACCTGATGATGTCATTAAATTTACCTGTACTTTACTCTATTAAGGCTGGGCTCCAGTTTCGACCACATCCAAGTTTCATTAGTACCTCCAGCGCGAGTTTCCGATACCATGTTAGCATTCTTGGGGGGCCCAGTGGGTGCAGATGTGACAGAGCAGGTGGGAAAATTAAGGTTAGCCAAGCCTGTCCAAACTCTCATTCATAGTTAAATATCAGTTTAGCAAACATATACTTGCTACTGAAATAAACGCCGTTACTCATTTCAGATTTAATTAGGTTTCGAGACTTCGTTTTTCTTCAAGAAGAACTTAGCCTAGATCACTTAAGGTGACTTGGGACTGATAATTGAATATTCACAGTAAGTTCTTATAAAAAATTACTAATAATTTCAAAAAGTACTTACATTAAGAGTCATCTGGCCTGTAGAGCAGTGGCATCCTCCTATTTCACCTAAGGGGTGCAATCCGTGTTCGAGTCCAGTTATGGATGCTGATGAGACATTGAGACGAGGTGTAATATGCAGTGTAGCATAAAGTAGCACACCTTTAGGCAGATAAGACTGCGACTTTTAATCCTTTATCACCTTGTACGACTTAGGCAGACTACACTTCATATTCAGACAAATGACTTCGTTAAGCCATACTTCTCCGATAGTGATAATCAGGGTACATCTAGAGTCCATAAAAAAAGCGAGACTACAATTTGAAATTAAAAGGAGACTTGGCTATCGGAGGGGGGGAGCGAGAGATGAGAATACAGCACATATAAATGCAAAATGTATTCGGCCAAGGGACAAGGAGAAATGCCACAACCGTTAAGCGAAACTCGGCTGCCGATGAAATTCCAAGAAATGTATTCAATCAGTCGTCCGATGTCGTAAGTGAACAGGGAAACAATGAAGGATATTTGACTGGTAGAATACATTCTTTCAACTCCTTCTTGCACGTAAAAGGCATCATTATGACAATCATGGAATAATTACACCTTAAACAAGCAGGTTAATTGGAAATCTTCTGTGATTGACGGGGCAATAAGTAACATTGCCTAAAGTATTTTGTCTTGTCCGGCTATCGAGCGCAAAAGGAGAATAAGTTAAACATCAATGGAAAACCAAGATTGACCTCTATTCGGGCAAGCTTGTAGATAATTTCAGTTAGAATAGGAGATACAAAATACGCATATACCTGATGAGTCTCTGTCTGTCCAAGGAACAACTTTCTACAAGGCACTCATACATTCCGTTTGATTTGTCTAAACGCATAA